TAATTTATGCATCGCAATTTAGTTAATATCTAAAATTATCGCAAATGTCGGAACAGAAATAGGCTTTCAAAGGTGAAAAAGAAAGCATATACGCCAGGCAATTACGATAACAACTGTTCGTGTAAGACAATACATTATTCTTGGTAATATAGTAGCACATATTGACAAATTCATAGAAAATCAGCATCTATAAAATCCAAAATAACTTACCATTTGTAATACGAAATTATTTAAAAACTACTACACACTTAATCCGTTATTTAACATTAGATATTTTACCGATATCCGTACTAAAACGATTTTGTTTGATTAACCGAATTGAAAAAACTGAAACGATTTTGTGGTTTGATTTACTTGAATGACCGATTCTTTGAAACGATCACAACTGTACGTTGCGTGAAAGCTAAATGGCTCGTGCCGGCAAATGTGCAGTTTCTTTACGATTCTATTTGCTAATAGAGAATTAAAATGAGGAAAACACTTTCGTCTGATGAATTTAGCTCATACCTGTAATTAGCAGAAAAAGTTGTTAATTAGCCATTCTACAGAAAATATGTGCTTGTAGAAAATGTTATTAGTCCACAGATGAAAATCGAAACTTCTTCAGGAAGAGCTATCGAGCTATTGTTGTTATTACGTATCATAACATAATATAAAACAATCCTAATAAGTATATTGTGTGTCATAACTATGCATATGGAAATAATGGTGGTTAAGTGGGGGGGGGGAGGTTCTTCTTCTTAACATGCCATACACCAAAGTGCGTAGGCGACTATCTCATTACTAGAATTCTGTTCTTGGCGGTGTGACACAGCTCACCTGTATTGTGTATTCCTGTCCATTCTTTAATATTCCTTAACCAGGATAATTGTTTGCGGCCGGCTCCTCTCCTACCTTCGATCTTCCCTTGTAGGATTAACTATGGTATTTCATATTTTGCTCCTCTCAATATGTGCCCAAGGTAACCAATCTTGCGTTTTTTAATTAATTCAAAGAGTTCTCTTTCCACGCCGGCTCTATTAAGGACGTGATCGTTTCGAACTCTATCCACCCAAGGTATGCGCATCATTCTTCTCAATGACCACATTTCAAATGCTTCAAGTTTGTTGATAGATGTTTTCTTTCAAAGTCCACTTTTATCCATTCCATAAAGCAAGATGGACCATATGTAGCACTTGACCATTCTGTAGCGTATTTCGAAGTTTAGGTGTTGATTACATAGGAGCGGTCTGAATTTCACAAAAGCTTGTCTTGCCATTTGTATTCGGGTTTCTATCTCGTGTTGTGGATCCGATTGGTCATTGATTGTGGTGCCAAGGTATTCGCGTGAAAACCATAGGTTTTCACGCGATTTATACGATTGTCACCTATGCATATTATCGGGTTTTCTGGAGGGTTTCCGCTATTGACCATATATTTCGTTTTCAAAATGTTCATTTTGAGGCCATATTTTTTACCTATGCTATTCACCTTATCAAGCAATAACTGCTGATCTTCCAAATTATCAGTTATAATCACTGTGTCGTCCGCATAGCGTAGGTTGCTAATTGGTATGCCGTTCACCTTAATGCCTAATTCCGTATCTTCTAATGCTTCCGCAAATATATTTTCAACATATAAATTAAAAAGCATCGGAGAGAGTATGAAGCCTTGGCGGACACCTTTCCGGATTTCAAATTCATCCGTATATTGGTCTTGATCAATCCTCACCTTTGCCATTTGGTTCCAGTCTAGATTCTGAATAATTCTGATCTCCTTCTAGTCAATGTTGGCCCTATGTAGTAGTTCCATTATGATATCATGTTTGAACATTGATGAACATTGTCAAATGCCTTCTCGTAGTCGATGAAGGAGAGGTCTTTTCGTTGATCTAAGGAGTTTTGTATTAAGGTGTTCAAACATAAAATTGCCTCTCTTGTTCCTAGTCCTCCCTTAAAACCGAATTGTGTTGACCCGCTAAGTTCTTCTAGTATCTTGTACATTCTTGAGTGTAATATCCTAAGGAAGAGTTTCAACAAGTGACTCGTTAAACTGATTAAGCGGTGTTCATTGCATTTTGTGGCATTAGCTGTTTTTGGGATCATCACAAAGGATAACTGCAGCCATTCTCGCGGAATGTAACCAGTATCATAAATTCTATTGAACAGCCTTACCAAGATTTCGATATTCTCCTCGTCTAGTAGTTTTTATTGCTTCTATATTAGTTTCACAAAGTGAAACATTTTGAAGCGAAACCTCTATATTGGCCTTGTATTTTACTTTTTTCTATAGTGAAATGCTGAGGCCAGCGTCACGGAACTATCGCCACATAAAGCAGTCGTCACGAGTAGCATCATGGAGTAGCGATCCCTCACATCCAGCCACTATTTTCGATCAATTCGTTTTTAGTCATCATATGAGGGGTCTAGAAGCTAAACCAGCAATCTCCACTTTGACAATTTTTTTAGGAAATATAATTTTTTAATAAAATTTTAGCGTTTTATTAAAGTTTTATTTATTTTTTGTTATTTATATTTATTTGTACATTGGCTTTAGTTATCCACAAAATCAACCTAATTGTTTGATTAAATTTTAAGTAATTAACAATATAAGTTAAGGAGATTTCTGGTTTTGCAACAAAATAAAAACAATATATGAATTCAAACACATTCAAACACATCTTCCTTGAAACCAAATTTTTATTGAAAAAATCTTCTTATCTACTTTTATGTATATAGACATGACTCTGTCTCTTTTTCAATGTGCCTCCAGTAAGTAGTCATTCTATCATTTCCGTGGTCTTCCTACGAATCGTTTTCCTATTGGCGAAAGTCCGTCTCTTGCCATCTTTATCTCCTTATCATACGACTCTATTTGTTGTCATTTAGCTTATGTGATCGTTCCATTCTACTCTTCTATTTCTTACCCAGTTCTTGATGTTCTCCATCTTGCATCTATGGCGTATATCTGTACTTCTAGGTCTGTCCGATAGTGACTTACCATCAATTTTTCTTAGGAAAAATCTTATAACAAATATTTATGAACAATAAAACACTGAAAACTTTGATTTCAAACTTCCACAAAATTTATTTTAAATCTTATCACTACAGCTGTTTCGGCTGATTGCCTTTCTCAAGTGATCTATTTTTGGCTTGGGTTTACAAATTTATAGTCTCTAATGAAATAGGTTGGGGAGGGGAGAACTGTTTGTCTCAAGTTGGTCATTCAGAATTATATCTGTGTTTTTTAATTTGTTGATTTCCATAGATTCTAACAAAGATAGCTTAAGGCCTTTATTTTGAATGTGAAGAATTTTAAATTTGTCATTAAAAGAATGATTATGATCTAGAAGGTGAAGTACGTATGTCGAATCTGTTTTTCTATTCTTGAAAGCCCTTTTATGTTCTGCTATTCGTTTATCAAAGTTTCTACCAGTTTGACCGATGTCAGTTTTTGGGCAGTCGCCACATTGAAGTTTGTACACACCACTATTTAAGTGTTTTTTTATTTTGGCTCTTGTTATTTTTAATATATTTGCCTAGGTTGTTATTTGTTCGGAAAGCTGGTGTTATTCCTTTCTTTTTTATGTGTTTGGCAAGTTTTGTTGTTATTTTGCCTGTATATGTAATCGAGCAGAAGGTACTGGGTTTTTTCTCTGGTGGTGGAAATACTAATTTCAGGGCTTTCTTGTGTAGTTTTTGATTTAACATTTAATATTTTGTTAATTGTTTGTTCGTTGAAATTAAACATAATTAAGCAAATAGCAGTAAACAACGGATACAACGAACGAATTAATAAAATGTTAATATTGTTCTGAAGCTATTTTCTTGTGGCATTGTAAATTAATTACTATTTATAACTGGGAATAAGCCACAATTAAAGATAAAAATACGTTTATTGACGTTTCAATTTCCAATTCGGAAATCGTTCTCAAAATACAAACAGTAAATTAAACATTTTGTTTTTTGTTACATAGTGAAAAAATTCTTCTAATAATTTAATTTTATCTGACTCATTTATATTGACAATTCAGACATACATTTTGCATTTTAAAGTAGACGACTTTAAAATGATATTGCCAATATTGTTGAGTTGCGCTCCTGGGACGACTTTACTTATAAGATAGTTCATTCGATTACATGAAATCAACTTTAACTTGAGAATATCCGTCAGAAAAAATCATGCCATGTAATTCGTCTTTAAAAAGACAAACACATGACATGATGACAGTAAAATTCTCCTGTTAGTGATTCCATAGTAAATTATGAGGGAAAAACCAGGAAAAAAACCTCATAATACTATCCCGACATTGTAAGTATTTGTTCGTAAATTTAGTTTACCTTCAACAAACATCAAAATTCTGATTTTATATGTTCCTCTTCTTCTTCTTCGTCTAGCCATTCACGTCCACATCTGAACATAAGCCTCTTCAAGTCTTCCTTTCCATTGGTTTTTATTGTACGCTACTTGTAGCCAATTTTTCCCGGCAGTCCTTTTCAGATCATCTGTCCATCTCATAGGAGGTCTGCCTCTGGGTCTTTTGTGTTGGTATGGTCTCCAGGTTAAAATTGATCTGTGGCACAGATTTTATATGTTACGTTATTTAAAAAACATAAATGATGTATCCGCCATATGTTACTGACTTACTAATACTGATATTTTCTTATTAATAACTTCCTCTTTCAATATTGGTAACCAGATCCTACTACATTCTGCCGAGGAATTTGCGACACAATTGGCCTCATTTAGCATAATTAGAGCCGCTTCTTTGATTTTTCTTTTTTTGCCATCCGTTTCTTTTAGGACTATATTTGAATTATTCCATTGAACCCTATGTTCATTATCCCATGCGTGTTTACATATTTGAGATCTATCAAATTCTCTATTTTTAATATAAGATTGATGTTCACTTATTATCAAGGCCATTAAATGTTAGAATAAGCATATTTTTAATAATAAAACACAACTTTTTAAAAATATAATTTATTTTATTAATTACATTAATATTATGAATAGTGCATTCAAGTATTTCTATTCGAATTATAAATTTTTATAAATAAATTGTATCCATCATCTTCATTACGTGTGTTTGTCGGTTGGCAGCGTGTCCCAGGTAATAAGTTTTTAATTTTTACAGCCAATATTCTGAAGTTAACTTCGTCTATTTTTAAAGATCCTGTAAGGAGTTTTTGAAAACGAGAAGTAAGTATCCATAATTCATCTTCTTGTCGTTTGTTCTGCGATATCTATAATACGAATTAAATTTATTTTAACAATACTATCCAAATAATAATTAAGACTGCTATATCAGACATTAACAACAACGTAAAGTACTGCTCATAACATCCTTAGACGGTTGTTGTACAACCGTCAACAACAATTAGGTTGTTGTAACTCAACATCAGAAAAAATGACAGGAAACAGAGATCAGTAGCAAGAAGCTTGGAAAACTTCACTTTGATTTGAAATAAAACCTACATAATAATGTATGTTTATAACATAAAATTGCCGAAGATAAGAAAAGTTAGAAAGATTTCATTGTCGACTTCAAGATCAACCACTTTAAAAAATTATATAAGTGAAAGAAAAACTGCAAACAATGAATAACACTTTTGTTTTATGCAGATATGGAAGGTGAATAGAAGGAACCAGCAAAAGGCAAAAGCAAAAATCGTCGATGTTTTAAGAGAGCAGACATCGATAAGTTACCGCACGAATCAATGGGCTCCAATAAAAATTTCGTACTGCTGTATAAGAAAAACATTAAATCAATAATTAATTTCTTCCTTTTCTTCATGTGCCATCTCCTCTAAGAAGGTTGGCAACTATCATGGCAATTCCTACTTTCGATATCGCTGCTCTAAAGAGGTCAGTAGAAGTGCAGTTAAACCAAGCTCTATAACTGTAAGCAAGCCTATAACTGTAAGGCTTCTAATCTGCCCGAAACATATTTATTTAATGTTCCAGCCTCCAATCCATAAAATAATACGAAGAACACGTAGCATCTCAGAAGTTTAATCTTTAAAGAAATTAAAAGGTCCCTACTGCAGAGTACTTTTTTCAGTTTGTTGAAAGAATTTCTTGCCTGTCCTATTCTTGCCTTAATCTCTTCTGTGTACTCATTATTTTCATTAATTATTGTACCCAGATATTTATATTTTTCAACTTTTTTAATTTGTTCTCCATGTATTATGTTTCCTCGGCGCTGTTGGGCTTTTGTAATTACCATAAATTATGTCTTTTTTTATGTTTAGGAACAGTCCGTTTACTTCACTGACTTCTACTACTCTGTCAACCATTTGTTGTAGATCCTCAAGACATGCCGCTAATAAAATAGTGTCGTCGGCAAACCGCATATTATTGATTGGTCGGCCATTTACTTTTTTCCCATATTTAGTTCTTCTAGTGCTTCCTGCATTATTTCCTCTGAATACAAATTGAACAAAGCAAGAGAAAGGACACACCCTTTCATTTGAAAAGACGTTGTTCTCTTTTACCACATCGATATATAATAGATAGCGCTAATGATCCTAATGTCTCTCATATCTATGTTTTTCTTTTCAAGTAATTCGATAAGACGATAATGTCTGACTTTATCGAAGGCTTTTTGTAATCCAAAAAACAAATATATACTGGCTGATTAACATCCATGCACTTTTGCACAAGTACTTTTACAGCGAACAGGGCTTCCCTCGTTCGCAGTACATTTCTAAATCCAAATTGTGTCACTTATGTCCTGCTTAAGTTTGTTGTGTATTTTCCAGTGTATAATTTTTAAAAATATTTTGAACGTATGACTCATTAAACTTATTATCCGTTGGTCTTGACATTCTTTTCCATTTGGTTATTTTGGTAGTGTTATGAATGTTGACATCAGCCAATCTCTGGGAATGATTCCTGTACTGTATATTGTATTGAATAAGTCAACCAATATTCCAACTTGCTGTTCTTCTATTAACCGTCTTATGTCTACAGATATTTCGTCAGGACCTGTTGCCTTGTTGTTCTTTGTTCGCTTTATCGCCTCTAATACCTCATCTTCTGTTATGTCTGGGCCGTTGTCGAACTTTTCCTGCTCTAGTACTATCTCAGTCCGTTCGTCTTTAAATAGCTCTTGAATATATTCCTGCTATCTTTTAAGCCTTTCACCGACGTCTATAACTATTTTGCATCTCTGATTTTTCTTCTTATTTATAAAGGTTCATAAATAATAATTTATTTACAAAGGTTTAAAACAACCGTTGTATTCCAGATAAAAATTTATGCGGTTTGTTATATAAACTGAGTATTATGGAACAGAAAGTAACAGCAGAATGATCACTCACGATACCTAGCCACATCTAGGTAGGAGAAACGTGGTAAACAATACAGTCTACAGAAAAATACTGGTCTCCCCTTGAATGTAATAACTGCTTTATAGGGTACAACTAAGCGAAAACATGTCATAGTGTATACAAAGAACGGATTTTTTAAGAAAAAAAACATGCATTCATGCCGTCGGATGGATAATTTGTCGTCTTATATAAAACGAATAACGTGAGAACTGCGGAAATTAAAACCGAGCTAATAGCAGCAGCAGAACGAATGTTACATATAAATCAAAATAAAACCAAATTCATAGCGACTAACACAAACACAAGAGCTGGAAATGACGCAAAGTTCATCATCAATGACCAAAACTTCGAAGCAGTCAAAGAGTTCATATATCCAGAGACATCGGTTAACCCCAATAATAATACATCTGGGGAAATAATAAGGCGAATAATAATTGCAAACAGGTGTTATCATGGTCTATCAAAGTACTTAGCGAACCAACGTCTGTCTCAAAAAACTCGTATAAGGCTGTATAGAACACTGATAGTCCCCGTTCTCACATACGGATCAGAGGCATGGACGCTAACTAAAACAGATGAATCCGCTCTATCGATTTTTGAAAGAAAGGTGCTACCCAAGATATTCGGGCGGTCTGTGAGAACGGAATATGGAGGCGTAGATATAACTTTGTACTGCAGAATATTTACAAGCATACGTTTGGTGGTAAAGATATTACCATTATAATTAAGCGAAACCGCCTGCAATGGGCAGGACATGTAGCCCGGGCCCCTGAATCGAACATGATAAAAAAGATTCTAACAGCGCAACCTGTGGGAATGAGACGACGGGGTAGACCAAAGCTGAGGTGGATGGATGGGGTAACACAAGATGCGGAGAAGATCGGAGTCGGCAACTGGAAAATGCAAGCAAGGGACAGAACAGAATGGCGTAGAAAGCTTGATAAGGTCGAGGCCCTCTAAGAGCTATAGCACCAAGATGATGATGATGATATAGAATGAATAAAAGTAGTTAAAATAGATGTAGTAAAAGGAAAAAGACAGTTAAGATTTGATTTCACGTATGCGGCTGTGTATCCGTTTATACGAAATACGTATGTCTTGATATGTGAAATGCAATTTTTAGATTCCCCATGTCTCTAATACCATTTTTATCAACGTCTATTTTGCCTTTCAATTCTGAGAAGGCACCGATTAAAGGATTCCCCACACCGACGCGAAACTTTTGCGACGCGAAACCGTTGCGGAACATTCGCAGGCGGAGCACTATTAAATTCATAATATATAATATATAATGAAAACTTACCATTGTCTCCTAGAAATGACCCTATATTATCCCAGACTTTATCCTTTTTTCTTATATTTTTATAATCTTCGTCACTTAAATCATAAATTATAGGATATTGTTTCTCAATTTCAATTAGTTTTTCTGTAACAGCCATTTTAATAATTCACGCGAAACAACTTGCTATAACTGCAGCGGAAAAAACCGTGCATGCAGCGTTTCATGAAACGTCAACGCTGTTCTGCCGCGACCGTTCCGGTTTCCGTCCGAACTTGTCTGAACACATGCATTAAGTCGCCGTGCCTTACGATTCGCCGCGATTCCGCTGCGAAAGTTTCGCGTCGGTTTGGGGAATCCTTTAAGTCGCCGTGCCTTACGATTCGCCGCGATTCCGCTGCAAAAGTTTCGCGTCGGTTTGGGGAATCCTTAAAGCAAAAATATGATTTTGGATTAGAAAATTATTTTACGGATTTAAGATGTAGTAAACTTTCCTAACGTTTTATATTACCTTCATGCCACTAGGAAACTGAAAAGTCACAGGATTATCTGCTACAATATCTGCAGTCCAACCACCATAGTATCCCGATTTGGTATTGAAACAGGCTATTTTAATATCTTCCACTAATCCATAATACATTATACTATTTGAGTCTATAGCCTCTGCGAATGACTGAGTTCTTCGTTCTCCATTTAAAGTCTAAAACAAAATAAATGTCGGTCAGATAGCCAAGCTGCCAAGATGATCCAGAGCCTGGGCAGAAAACAAAAAGGATAACGTAAAAGCTTAAAATTCTAAATGAATTTGCTGTTTAGACTGGTATGTACTGGTGTATCGAATATGATAAAGGAATAATATTGTAGTTTTAAATTTAGGAAAGCTTACGTGAAATAATTTCGGTTGATCAACAGAAAATAATGATTCATTCCGCAGATGAGCAGTATACACCCAATTTTCAGTAGGACTAGACGCCGCATGATAGAATAATTTTCTTTCTATTCCATCAGAAATTGGAGACAAACTCATACCTAGAATTCCGTCCATAAGCTCGAACGTATCCTCTGAAAAAACATTACAATATGAATCTTAACAAACGTTCACAATGATGTTAAAATACTAAAAAATGGTAAAATAGTGAAACTAATTACTAAAAAGTATGATATTAATAAATACTAAAAAATAAGAACAGATTTTCCTAATACAAGTAATCCTAATATTTACAGAAAAGATAATTACATATTAACAGGTTGACTGCCAGCCTCTTTTTCCTTGTATTGCTAAAGAGTCATTTGAGTACCACATATGGTACTCAGTCCAGAAGATAAGTTCAGATATTGAGCGCCATATCTGGTACTTAGTGTAACTTACAAAACTGCATGCCGTATACCTCTCGCATGGGTTGTACTCGGCTTGTATATTTTGGAGAAATTAAAGTTTTGGTCTCAGAAAACTGTTCCATGATTTTAGCCCGTAGCTAGATGGTATTTTATTGTTTTTTATAAACTTAAATTTCTTTTTAGCTTAAATATTTATTTAACAAACACCGTAAATCTAAGTCGATAACTTAGCATTTATATACATTATTCATTGATAGAGAAAATTTTGAAAACAACATATACTCACCTAATATTGTATATGTTCCGTAATTGGGATACGGAAACATTGTCTTGTCGAATATTCTCCATGATTTGTTCTCGTTAAAGTCATAAACAATAAGAGCAAACGATTGGCAATCAGCTATATACACAAAGGTATTACGACAAAAGCGGGTTTTATCCAGAACTTCTACAACTGGAGTTACCATCATGGAATGGAGATCATACTGATCACTTGGAATTTCATATTTATTAAGTAGTGTGTCCTTAAAACATACTTAATTTATTTACCGTTTTTATCAGTTGTTTGAAATTACTAAATAAACCGAAGTAGCAAAAATGTATAACAATAAACTGCAACTACAATATGCTGCAACATCCTTTTAAACATATTTCTTCACTGAAGAACTTAGCTGTATAATTCAGCGTATTGGTAGTACAACTAACATTTTGCATATTATGATATATTATGGCTAACTGAAAGTTTCTCTAACATAATCCAGGTATATGCCCCTAAAGCTGACAAATCAGACGACATAAGTAAAGCAATCTATAATGAATTATCCAACACCTTGAAACACCTTCCCAAAAAAGATGTAACCTTGATTATAGGTGATTTAAATGCCAAGATTTTTAGGGGACAATCGGGAGAATTCATAGGACATATGGAAAAACAAATGAGAGAGAAGACCTATTGGGTAAATTTGTATCAGAAGAAGAGTTTCTAATTACTAACACTTACCTCAAACTCCTAAACAGAAGATTATACACGTAGAAATCACCTCAAAATACTTCAGGCCTCATAGTCATAAATCAAATAGATTACATTGTGTTTAATAAAAGATTTCGTAACAACATTGCATAAGTCAAGACATACCTAGGAACCGATATCAAGTCAGACCATAACCAACTGTTCTGCAAAATGAGGGTCAGGCTAAAGAAGATTCGATGTAGTGTCAACCCAAAGGCTACTCAAAGAACAACGCATAGAACAGAGTGTAAAACAGTATATACATAGAAATTTGAATACCGTTATTTAAACTCATTTAATATTCCAGGAGCTTTAAAAATTGCATACAGTTTCACAAGACATACAAGAAAAATTCCTCAAACCACCAAAAATTAAGAAAAAATCGTGGATAATAAATGAGGTTCTGGATATGATTGAACAAAGGCGAAAGGTCAAAAATCGGGACAAGACATTATACAAAAGTATAGAAAAAGAGATCAAAAAAGCAATCAGAATGGCAACGGACACACAGCTGAGAGAACAATGTGCGAAAATACAGCTATTACGACAGAAACACGATTTATTTAAGATATTCACAAAACAGTTAAAGAAGCTACAGGCTTATACAAGCCTAGAAGAGTTGGATGTTTGGCACACAACCAAGGTGATCCACTACCAAATGTGGAAGAAAGAGTAGACACTATGTAGTTTCTACAATATTATACAGAGTAGAGGCATGGAGGTTCTCTGAAACTAATTTATGAAAGCTCGAGGCATTCAAGATGTGGTGTTACAGACGCATCTTACGAATTTCTTGGGTGGATCGTGTGACTAATAATGAGGTCCTACGTAGAATGGGCAAGGAATGCATGATCACTAGCATATACAAAGAGTGGAAATTGGAATATATTGGCCATGTTATGAGAAATGAATGTATTGCATCTCATTATTTAGGTTAGTGTATTTGAATAGAGGGGATCAAGGAGCAGAAGAATATCTTGGCTTCAAAACCTAAAGAAATGGTCCAATACGTCTACAACTAGACTACGAGTATTCCGAATAGCTGCAAGTAAAGTAAGGATAGCTATGCTGATCGTCAACATCCGGAACGAATAGGCACCCTAAGAAGAAGAAGAAGAACGTTTCTTTATTTCAGCCCTGAACAAGTAAATAAACATTCACGAAAACGTTAGGCCACACAATTGATACACATTAAGTTTTTAGATATATATTTTTAAATGGAAAAAATTGCCAACGTTTTAATTATTGCTATATTATCAAATAAATATTATTACCATTAAAATACATACCGATTTTAGATCAAATACTAATAGCTGTGGCGGACAAACCATCTTCTGGCCCAATACTCCGGTGTCCAAAACCCATAACCTGCTACATTCATCAACCTGCATCAAATTATTTATTAAAGTATAATTTTCTGTTAACGATATTCTTATAGTATTGAAGTATCTGTACAGTGTTCCTTTAATAATATACATAGAAAGGTATCTTCCTCTTTTTCTAGTGCCATATCTATTAATTAAGGTTGGCTATAACCATTGCAAATTTGTATATATTGGCTATAAGCATTGCTTTTCTTAAGAGTGTCTGTATGTTTAACCCGCTCCAGTCGCGAATGTTTTTCAACCTGGATATTTGTCGTCTAACAGGAACCCTTTTTCTTCGATTTTACCCTTCATAATCAAGTGCAACAAGTTCTACTTACCATTTATAAGTATGATCTTTTCGTTGGGTTTATAGACTATAAGAAAGCTTTCGACAAAGTTAAACATAACATTTTCATGAAATGTCTAAAGAGAAAAGGACTCCACAAAAATGACATTAAAATAGTAAGAAATCTCTATTGGAATCAACAGGCTGTGGTAATATTAGATGGAAATAGTACGGATACGCAACAGATAAGTAGAAGAGTGAGACAGGGCTGTGTACTTTCACCATTACTATTTAATATATATTCCGAAGAGTTATTTATGCAAACATTTGAAAACTGTACAGAAGGAATCAAGATAAATGGTGAAAATATAAATAAAATCCGTTATGCTGACCATACAGTCATTATTGCTGAAAATGAGACAGACCAGCAGACGTTATTTACACAATTTTGATATTGCGAAACAGTTTGGTTTAACAATAAACACAAAGAAAACAAAAACCATGGTTATTAGTAAGAGGGGCGAAGTCATTACAAGTATCCAGATAAAAAATGAAGAAATTAAGCAAGTGGACATAATGAAATACTTAATAGTCTGGATTACGGAAGATCTGAATTCGAAATCAAAAATTCGCTTAAGAATAGAGCAGTCAAGAGCAGCCTTTTTAAAGATGAGGAAATTTCTGATTAACCAAAGACTAAATTTACAAATCTGATATTGAATAGTAAAATGTTATATCCACTCTATTCTTCTTTATGGACTGGACTGTTAATGTTGACTTAATGAGAAAACTGGAAGCTTTTGAAATGTGGCTTTTTAGGAGAATGTTAAAGATACCATGGACCGATCATATTACGAACGAAATGGTGTTGCATAGAATGGGAATAGACAGAGAACTTTTGACCACCATTAAAAGGCGAAAGACAGCATATTTGTGCCATGTAGGTACTTAAAAATGATAAGTACGAGTTGTTGCAGCTGATTATGGAGGGTAAAATTGAAGGAAAAAGGGATCCTGGACGGGACTGAGTTAAACACACAAACGCTCTTAAGAAAAGCAGAAGATAGAGACGAATTTGCAATGGTTATAGCCAACCTTCATTAGTGGAGACGGCACTAGAAGAAGAAGAAGGACATTTATTTTACGTATACAATATTTTTGGTTTGTTGCATTTTATACACTGATTATTTAAGAGTACTTACCATCACCCTAAATACTGATACAATCCTGAATTCTTTACAACTTTCTGGATTTATATGCCAGTCCCAGTTTGGATAAGGTGAAATTACAGGGTTTTCGTTAATCTTTTTTCCAGAGATAGTACCAAGAGAAGCGGGCGTTCCTGGCTTATTTCTGGGAATTGTTATAAAAATTTTGTTGTCACGAAAATGACCTAAAAAAAACGAAAACACTTCTACATTTTAAATACATTTTTAAAAATAAATACTTTAACGATAAAGATGTAGTGCAGATGTGGGCTCGAATATTTGAATGGATCATTTTAATATCTACTAAATATTATCAACAATTTTACACGAAAACGGTAATTCTTGTTAGAGTTCCGCCTCCCTACGGAGTCAAACTTACTGTTCTAAACAAATCAATTAATCTGCATTGATACCAGTCATTTCCAAGATTTTTTAACCAAGAATCCTGCCTTCGACCAACAGATCTCCTTTCTTTTCCAGAATCTTTACCTGTATTATAAGTCTTAAAATTTTATACAGTACGTTAAGTTTTGTATTTCATATTTCACACTACATACAGCGCACACTACATACATTTAGTTTAGTTACATATAACAATGAATAGGATATACACCTCCGTCCGTCGATTTTTGTTTTCATTACGTATACCCGGTTTATTTCTTATAACATAAACTCGATAAAAATACACTAACCTTTATAAGGCAGTGCATTTGTATAGGTTTTTAATAACTTGAACGTTTTTCTGTGGTTGGATTAAATATAAAAGCGCATTTTCTTAAAAAGATAAAACAAAATATATACTCTTAATGGAAATAAAAAATAATTTCTAATAAAATAAAAAATAATTCTTTATGCCCTACAGAAATGATTCAAATATTTGACCTTTTACGGCTGACCAGTATCCCAATCTGTCATAAAAACTTCTCCGGGTAGATAAAAGGGTTTCTTTTGTAACAGAATTGGAGACTTCTCGACTTCTTTATTTGGTTTTTTTAATTCATCCAAATTTTGGGCTCTAGCATCAGGATGATCGTAGATAATACTTTTTAAATGTTTCAAAAAAAAATAAGTCCATTGGTGTAAGATCTGGAGATCGCGCAGGCCAATTAATATCGTCTGTTCCACTGATAACTCAATTCGGAAAAGTATTGTTTAAGTACTTCCTAATTATTTGAGCGTTGTGAACTGAACAGCCGTCTTGATGAAACCAAACATTCTCCAGATTTACACCAGGAAGATTGAGAATAGCGGGAAGAACATAATTCTGTAACAAATCGAGGAATACTCTACTATTCAAGTTGCTCTCAATAAAAAATAGATCTATTATGTGTTCTCCTAAAATACCAGTCCAGACGTTAACTTTTTGAGGGCGTTGAGTTCGGTAAACAACACTTCTGTGCTGGTTTTCACGCGCCCTTTACCTCCTAATGGAAGGATGGTCTCTCTCTACTAACGAAACAGAAGATTCATCAGTGAATAAAATGCTTTTAATAAAATTTGGTGATCAACAGCAAAGAATTCAAAACATCCAAAAGACAATGTAGAAGTCAGAATGGCGACCTATTAATAACAAGGAAAGATGTATTGAATAGATGGGTGGAATATTTTAACCAAGCACTTAATGTAGAGGAATAAGAAGAAAACCTAGAAGACGAAAGAGATTAAGTAAGGCGAATAGACGAGAGGGAAGAGGAACCATCAACGAATCTTGCATTTAAAGATGCAATTAAAAAACTAGCCAGAAAAAATTACCCGGAATAGGTAATCTTCCAGCTGAACTATATAAAGAAGGTGCCCATGATACCATAATGGCATTACAGCAGCTTATAAAAGAAATATGGACACAGTCCCCACATTGGTAATCCCTTACCAATGATTGAAATATTGGAATACTTTGCACCATACACAAAAAAGGAGATATCTTTGAATACTTTCACCACAGAGGAATTATGCTTCTAAATGGAGCGTATAAAATATTTTCCACAGTACTATGTCATCGTATGGCACCATCTGTAGAACGGTTAGTAAGAACATACCAGGCTGGTTTCAGAGGTGGTAAATCGACAATTCATGATATTGCAGCCCTAAAACAAATTTGGGAAAAAACACTGGAATATGGAATTGATATTCATCACATATTTATAGACTACAAAACAACCTACGACTCTGTGAATAGAAGAGAAATGTTCAACAAATAATGGGCTGCGCCAGGGAGACCTTCTCTCCTGTATATTGCTCAATCTGGCTCTGAAAAAAGTAATACGTATGTCCCAAATCACAACCACTGGTTTAATATATAAAAAATCAGTTCAAATCCTGGCCTATGCTAATGATGTTAACGTTGTTGTACGAGAGGCATATGTAGCATTAAAAGAATCAGCTACAAAATTGGGTTTAACAATAAACACCACCAATTATATGAAAATAAGTATGCAACTACAAATACTACGACTACTTGTTATAGAAAACGACATTATAGAAGCAGTGAACGAATTTGTATACCTGGGAGCGCTATCAGAGTGAAACCATAACCTCTTTTGATATGCAGGCAGGGCGATGCCGGCTGGGTGGCTACGATCATCACGCAACCAAACTCCCATCATCCGAATACCTGCCTAATCTTGCTGCTCTGTTCCTCCCATCGAGCAAAAAGACAAAAGAGGGAATCTAATCGTTATGAAAAGGAGACCAAAAAAGTGGCCTCTGATGGCGGACATATCCGGAAATGCGAATGCGCTAAATTTAAATTTTTCGACACTTATTAGCAGTAGCAGAAGAGATTTTACAATTAATGAACAAACGAAGAGAATCTAAAGGAAAAAATGACAAGGACGTAGAATACAAAAGACTAAATAGAATAATTCGAAAAAAAATAACCGAAGCAAAAGAGAAATGGCTGGAAACAAAATGCGTTGAAATAGAAGAACTGCAACAAAGGCACGATTTTTTTAATTTACATAAAAAGGTAAAAGAGTTTACATCGACTACCAAGAGAACGACTTTTCACACCATGCTGAACACGGAGGACAAACTGCTAGAATCAATGGAAGATAAACTGAAAGAATGGGAAAACTATATTAAACTTCTTTTTCACGACATACGAGAAGAACCAAGATTGGAAAATAACAACGAAGGGCCAACAATTCTGAAATCTGAAATCATAAATGCAATTAATCATCTCAAAACAAATAAAAGCCCAGGTCCAGAAACGTTCAAATTAATCAGCGAAGAAAATATCGAATTATTTGTCCTTTTATTCAATCGCATTTATGATACAGGTAAAATACCCCAAGATTGGCTGGAGTCAATATTCATCCCACTACCAAAAAAGCCAAACCCACAACACTGCAATGAGTTCCGTCTGATAAGCCTTATGAGTCATGCTGTAAAAGTCCTACTAAAAATCGTACATAATCGTATCTATAGAAAGTGCGAAACAATCATCGGAGACGATCAGTTTGGATTCAGAGCCGGCATGGGAACGAGAGAAGCCCTGTTCAGTTTACTAGTTCTCGCCCAAAAATGCTACGACCAACAGAAAGATATATTTATATGCTTTATAGACTTCGAAAAAGCATTTGATAGAGTAAGACACGACCTACTATTAGAACGTTTGCAAGAAGTCGGTTTAGATAGAAAAGACATCAAATTCTTAAAAAACTTGTACTGGAACCAAAAAGCCAGAGTTAGGATCGAAGGTTCCACATCCGCAGAAGTAGAAATTAGGAGGGGAGTTAGACAGGGATGTGTTCTGTCGCCTCTGCTGTTTAATCTTTACTCCGAGTTTCTATTTAAAGAAGCATTGGAGGATTCCAAGGATGGAGTCAAGGTGAATGGCGTAAATATCAACAGTATCAGATACGCCGATGATACAGTGTTAATTGCGGATTCCGACTCAGGTCTACAACGACTCATCGACAAGACCAACTCGACCTGTGAGCAATTTGGTATGAAAATAAACATTAAAAAAACCAAAGTGATGTCAATCCGAAAAAACCAAAACGTACCTCAACCTTGCACAATAAATGGGCACATCTTAGAACAGGTCAATAGATTTAAGTACCTGGGATGTTGGATCGATAGCAGCCTAAATCCTGATCAAGAAATAAAATCGAGAATAGAACAGGCTAGAAAATCTTTCGAAAAAATAAAAAAACTGCTTTGTGATTCTCAAATAAAACTCGAAATTCGACTACGTTTATCAAAATGCTACGTCTGGTCGACTCTTCTATATGCAGTTGAAACGTGGACCCTTAAAACATCAACCGTAAATAAATTGGAGGCCTTTGAAATGTTGATCTATCGGAGAATACTCAAAATTTCATGGACATCGCATACCTCAAACGAAGAAGTGCTGCATAGAATAGGCAAGGAAAGAGAACTTTTTAACACAGTAAAAGTAAGAAAAACATCATACCTAGGCCACATACTGAGAAATAATAAGTACCAATATGCCCAACTTATAGTGAAAGGAAAAATCGAGGGAAAGAGAGGCCTAGGAAGGAAAAGACTATCATGGCTCAGAAACATCCGACAATGGACAGGGCTAAATTTTGAACAGCTAATAAGAACAGCTGAAGATAGAGAAGAGTTTAAAATTGTAGTAGCCAACCTCCATTGAGGAGAGGGCACTTTAAGAAGAAGAAGATTAGCAGTAGCTATAAAATAGTTTTCAAAATGTGTCTTAGACGAGAAACTTTAAATAAATATTAACAATAACAGTCTAAAATGTGACACAATTGTTAAAAAACTTCAATATAAATAAGATTTGCTGTGACAAACAATAACATAACCCAACTAAATTTGATTTCTTAAACAAGGAAAGACTCTCTTTCCTTGTTTAATGTGGCCTCTCAAGATGGTACTTCCTGTCTAACAATATTTTTGCCCCCACTACCTTTATATTCCCTCTTTTGTCTTTTTGCTCGATGGTTCCTCCCCGTTCCGATCCGGAAAGTAACAGACCAGCAGCGTATGGCCCTTTATGGCCTGAAGTTTGGCCAGCTATTGCGGGCTTAGAAAATTAGCTTGATAACAAAGAGTGTTATCATAAAAGTTTAAAAATATTAAAAATAAAAGTAAAATAGTAAATTGGGACATTCACAGACATAAATGGACAGCGTAACATCTACGTGCTCAAGAGGATAAAACCCTAACTAGACGAACGTAGATCCCGCGATAGGAAGAAGCCGATATGAAATACTCTAAAATAAAGTTTTCATAAGTCATTTATGTTAAGACCTTCTAAAATGACTATGAATATGGATACTACCCTGAATTGTCTTTGTGATAAAATTGCGGACGTCGCAATGAATTCTCATGATACGAGAATTCGACTGAAACCATATTCCGTGAGCTCCCACGATTAAAGATGCCATGCAAATCTGTTTCCCTGGATATCGGGTCTGCATGGTCTGAAGGAATCGAGGCTCTGTGTACAGTGCTGTGTTATTAGCAGCAGCTGTACTTAGGGGTTCAGGCTCCTTCTAGCTGACGGCAACGTCCACGACAATTACCCGCTCACCGTGTTGCGCGACAAGGTCAGGTACCTTCAGAGTCCACTCGGCGCATCTTATTCGCGGCTTAACCTGGCAAATTCACCCTTTCTTTTGTAACCCTAATGTACTGTATATATTAGTATTATTAATGGATAAGTTTTAAGTCTTTCATAAATTGCTATCACTCCAGTTATACTTACGTGCATAATAGACATCTACGTCAATGGGAACCAATTTAGCAGGTGCAAAATTCCCACTTTGAATTTCCCGTTCCCGCTCATATACTGATGAATAGTCAAATTCCAAGTGTTTCCATTCATAGACCGTAGTAAATTCTTGTTTAGAAAAAACTGTGTCACATAAAAAAACAAGCGGAAGTAAGCCTAGAATAAGTAAAGGAGGAAAGTAAAAAATGTGTTATACAAAAGTGATTTAAATTTATTATATCGTTTCTCTTGAATCTATTTCCTTAAGTACGTGTCGCCAACCTTTTCTATTTCATCTAATTTGATTAATTAAATTTCGTCAATTCTTTCCTATTATGAATCCCTATTCGCTGTGAGTTTCGCCGGTAGCGCTCTCTCGCGGTTTGAAACTTGTACTTTTCTTGTAAAATCGCTGTAAGTTAAATATGACAAAACGAGAAAAATAGATATTTATCTAAAAAATACAAAATTATGAACTCAAATATTATTGTAAACTGATTACTGAACGAATACACAGAATTAATGGTAAAAGTAATTACGCCTTTTTATTTTATTCATTTTAATTATAATATTTAAGACATAAGTTCCTGCGACTGGATGACTACTTACGCAAAAGGCCATTGACAAAAAGAAGAAGTTTATGTGAAAATATTTAATGGATAAAGGTTACCTTTACCACAGAATAATAAACAATCAGAATGCCTACTCTCAGATGCTGCCTTTGAAGTTTTTCAACACGCGCGCCATGTTTTAGAAGGAAACACATAACACAGACATATGATTTGTGAGGTTATAAAATTGTTTATATTTATGTTTAATTATATTATATTTATGTTATTATATTTAACAATGTTAATATAATTGTATAGTATGTCTATGATTGCCGTAAGTCAATTAAACCCGGTTAATTTTTCTATGCACACCACATAAACAACACTGGTTCCATTTAAAACATGGCGGAACGTCTGCGCGAACGAGATGCGCGTACTTAATTTTCCATGAGGAGTGGGCATTCTGATTGTTTATTATTCTGTGCCTTTACCTATCGAGCAAAAAGACAAAAGAGGGAATGTAAAGGCAGTGGGGGCAAAAATATTGTTAGACAGGAAGTGCCATCTTGAGAGGCCAAATTAAACAAAGAAAGAGAGTCTTTCCTTGTTTAATAAATCAAATTTAGTTGGGTTATGTTATTGTTTGTCTTAACTGTCACATGAAAGCTTATTTATTTTGAAGTTTTTTAAAAATTGTGTCACATTTTGGACTGTTATCGTTAATATTTATTTAAGGATTCTCATCTAAGACACATTCTAAAAACTATTTTATAGCTACTGTTAATAAGTGTCGGAAAATTTAAATTTGGCGCATTCGCATTTCCGGATATGTCCGCCATCAGAGGCCACTTTTTTTGTCTCCTTTTCATAACGATTAGATTCCCTCTTTTGTCTTTTTGCTCGATGCCTTTACCTCTGTAACATTGTAATTCTTGTTTTCATTTTGCATTTTCATTCTGTTTTTGCTCAGTTATTTTTTGTGTGCGTAGGCCTTAGTGCTTAGATATCAATTTTTATTAATTTTATCAAAATGGATATTAAACATTATACTGGTTTTAAGTCTATATCACATGATAACCTATTTCAACCAGCTACACCAAAAAAGAGGAAAGATTTAGTTGATGCAGGGCATGTACGCAATGTTCGGAATATAATAGCTTTTTTATTTTACAACATAGAAATATCATGTTTGTATTATAGCTTATTTACTTATTTTTCTTATTGATAGCAATAATCCATTTTTTCCTTTGAAATTAATAAAATTTACAATCACTGTTATACCCAGTATTTGTATATGTATTATATCTTTTTCTTTTTGAAAAATCCATATTCGCCATTATTTGAATGTTTACAAGTTAAATGCACAAAACTGCTACTAACAGCGTTGGTGAAAACTGTCAAATCCCCTCTACGCATCGGCTCACAGCGAATACTATGTGGTCGTAGTATGACAAGCGACAGGCCTTTTTTTGTTTGTATTATAGATTATTACATACTTGTTTTAATTAAACCAGTCAAATGTACAATAAATATGTTTCTGATTTTATAATTTTTATTTCAACTTTAATACTGATTTCCTCCCGATTACCATTTTGTGGCTTATGGTTATATTTATAACAATAAGCCCTTCAATTGCAGATGATGAATACTTGTTCACACAGAAGTGAATTTTGTAACAAAATAACAGCGAATAGTTAATAATTTCTTGACAATAACACAGAAGACATATTTTTTCGAGGTGTATTGTGGTTGACTACGTAGTTGTTTTAATTTGATACAAGCTAGATACTGTGGTTGCCTATGGAGTAGGGCCGAATTGTTGTGTTCCAAACAATACTTACCTTGACAAATTATGTTATAAAGTGTGTAACTGTTAAAAAATAAATTAAACTATTTTAGTAAACCTGATACAAGTTAAACAAATCTGGAGGTCCAAAAATTAATTTAGATTCAAAAGATTTTGAAACTGTTTGTTTTTGTGGTAGATACCTATGTCAAAATTAAATAGTAGATATGTTTATATACTTTTAAGCCACAATTGAGATGAATGTTGTAGAATAAAACAATATGGAGATATAAATATGTCGGAAAAGAAATAACAGGCAAAATGTACAAAACAGTAATTAGACCAATAATAACATAGGCGACAGAAACAGATGACATGAAAACCCTTAGAAAAATCGGTGGTAAGACACTATGGGATAAAGATGCAAGGTGGAGAACATTAAGATCTGGATAAGAACTAGAAAAGTAGAATGAAATGATTATATACCTAGGCCGACTGACAACAAATAGAGTGGTAATGACGGCAAGAGAGGGTTCCCCGATAGGAAGACGATCAGTAGGAAGACCACAAAAACGTGCTGTGCATCAAGCTAGAGGCTTACAGCTATGAAGATATATAATTTGTGCATATAAATAAAAACCAATGGAATGACAATAAATAAAGTGAAACCAATATTGCAATCAGCATCTTAAATGAAATGAGAATAAATTACAGCTCTTAAATAATTCCTCCAATTATAGAAAACTACAATATAAGGAACGTTTCTTTGAGTTATTGCTTCGAAAACAAAAATTCATCTAAATTTGCCCACCAAAGACAAGAAAAAAAAATAAAAAATTACGTACCTTGTAAGTAAACCATTTTAAACCATATATCACTACTTGAATGAAACTAGTCTAAAATTTTTAATTAAACACGACGGACTTCATTAATATTTTCTTTATTTTGGTAATTAACAGTATAATGAATTTTTAATGTATTTACAAACTAATTGATAAAAACTAAACAATGAGTGTAAAAATATTTATCTAAGTATCTTTATTTAGAATATTAAGTAATATTAGGCAAAGACGGTTATAGAAATATTTAAGATGTTACGAAAACTGCTCTTTTAAATCATCTATTAGACCTTTTCTTTAAGTGCCGTCTGCTAATGAAGGTTGGCAATCATCATACGATAGTTCGATCATTTTGCAGCTTCTGGTGTTTGGAACGATTCCCTTTAGTCCCTCAGCCAGAAGTTTTTCTTTCTGTCCAACCCCTTCTACCTTCAACCGCTTGGTTGCTCTTAGTTGGTTGGTTCTAATCGTTCCAACGGTTTCAGATTTATCGACCAAGTAATCAGGCAAACTATGAAAAAATTACGGAACTAATGACCATCTATAAAGCAGCATAAAAACCCTAATAGAGAAAGTCGTGGAATACAATAAACCCCACCTAATCGCATAAAAATAGAGAGGGGGTTAGACAAGGAGACCCAATGTCACCTAAACTTTTTAATACTGTGCTGAAACATGCTTTTAAGAATTTATATTTACTTCAATCATCAATCATCCAGCCTCTATTTATCACGTCCACTGCTGGACATAGGCCTCCCTTAAACTCCTCCATTCCTCACGATTTTGTGCTCTTTGTTGCCAATTTTTAGTGATACGCCTGATGTCGTCGGCCCAACGTGTAGGTGGTCTTCCTCTACTGCGTTTGTCGCTCTTGGCCTCCAATTTGTAATTTTGCTCGTCAATCGTGAATCGTGCATTCTCGCTACATGGCCTGCCCAGTTCCATTTTAGTTCCGCTATGCGTTCCACAACATCAGTAATACTCGTCCTTCTTCGCAGATCTTCGTTTCTTATTCGGTCCCTCAACGTCACTCCCAGCATAGACCGTTCCATTCGTCTCAGTGCCACTCTCAGTTTCGAAGCCGTGGTCTTGGTTAAAGTCATAGTTTCCGCCCCATAGGTCATGACCGGTAATACGCATTGGTCAAACACTTTTATTTTGAGGCTAATTGGTATGTTGGCCCTAAGTGTGTCTCGCAGTTTTCCAAAGGCTGCCCATGTTAAAGTAATTCGTCTTTGGATCTCACATGTTTGGTTATCCCTGCTGATTCTTATTTCATGACCCAAATACGTATATTTCTCCACCAGTTCTACCACTTTGTCTTGAATAGTCAAATGGTTATTGGGGACCAAATTTGTCATAAACTTAGTTTTGGTCAAGTTCATTCTCAGGCCCACCTTCGAACATGCAAAATCCAATTCGTTTAACATATCTGTAGCTTCTCCTAAATTATCTGTGATAAGGACAATGTCATCTGCGAAACGGAGATTGTTAAGCTTTTCGCCGTCTATCGTTACTCCTCTGTGGTCCCAATTGATCATCTTAAAGGCATATTCTAATTCGTTATGAATAATTTCGGCGACAATGTATCTCCTTGCCTTATTCCACGATTTATTTTTATTGGTCGGGTTTTATTGTCTATTTTAACAGTCATAGTGACTGTCATAAGACTGTCTAATTCGATCGTCTCGAACGCTTTATGAAAATCTGTGAAAGTGAGAACAAGAGGTTAGTTATATTCTATAGATTTTTCAATGAGTGTCTTTACTGTGTGGAGGTGATCATTGGTACCATAATTTGAGCGGAATCCTGCCTGCTCTCTCGGTTGGTAGAAATCTAATTTTTTCTCCAATCTTGATGTCACTACCCTAGTGAAGAGCTTGTATATGTGGTTCAACAGGCTAATAGGTCTATAATTTTCTAGGTCCGTTCTATCTCCTTTTTTATGCAAAAGAATGGTTGTAGCATTGTTCCACTCTTTGGGCACCTCTCTTTGCTGCAAACATAGATTGAATAGTTTCCTTAATTTATTTAATAGCATATCTCCTCCATTTACGATAGCTTCTATTACGATTCCATCCTCTCCTGAGGCTTTGTTATTTTTCATTTTTCTTAATGCTTGTCGAATCTCATCTAGCTTTATCTCTGGCATTAGTTCTCAACCTTGATTCTTGATCTTCTTTGAAATGGCTGTTTGTATTCCTGTTTTATCTTCTCGTCTACTTCTATATAAGTCCTCGTAAAACTCTTCGACGACCTGTATTAACTCGTCTCTACGTGATATTATTTCATTTTGCTTGTTTCTTAATTTATGAATTTCGCATTTCCCATTCGTTAGCTTTCTACGTAGAACTTTTAGGCTGTTATTTTCCTCTATAGTGCGTTTAATATAATCGGTATACTGGCTTACAAAAAGAATAAAAGTAGATGGAGAATATCTGAACAACTTATGTTTCGCCGATGATATAGTCATAATAGCTGAGGACTAGGAATGACAAAAGAGATCATACAGGTACTCGTTGTGGCTACAGAAAAATATAAACATCTCGAAAACAAACTTAGGCAAGAATTAGAACTCATAGAAAAATATCAATACCTAGGACATGAAATTATGAATTGCAGGGAGAATCAGACCCATGAAATAAAGAGAAGAATCGATCTTGGGTGGGCAGTATATGGATAACTTTTAAAAGTTTTAAAGAGACTTTAGGAAGTCTCTTTTAAAGAGAAACTTTTAAAAGTGAGCTGCCCACATGCCTAAAGAGCCTAAAAAGTATTTGATCAATTCGTCCTCCCAGTGTTGACATATGCAGCAGAAACAAATAGAGCGATCCATGTTAGGGTAAATCCTGTAAATGTGGCAAGAAGAATAGAAGTGAAAAAAATTTGCAGAAAACAGAAAAGAGAACAGCTAGAAAAGCAATTAAAAAACATAGAAGAATCCTACATAAACAAAGAGGTGAAGAATTTCTACCAAGAAGTTATGAAATCCAGAGAAACTACAAAGAATAATCCACAAAATTGCAGAAACAAAGAAGACTTATTTCTAGGTGAAACAGCAGAAAAATTAAACAAATGGGCGGAATATTTCGAAGATCCATTATATACAAATCAACAAGAAGAACTTGAGGGAAATGAGAATTGGCAAGAAGATGAAGAAGAGAAAGTTCACTTGACACTAATAATTTGGCAAAAGTAAGAAATGCCGAAAGAATGGTATAATGCTCTTATTTGTCATATCTATAAAAAAGAGGTTATAGTACTATTAGAAGTAGTCTAAAGTCAATTTGAACAAGTAAATCATGTAGTCAACATCGAGGAAGGGATCGTTGTCAGCTACTACATCAAGTCCTTTTTCAAGAGCTGCACGGAGTACAAGAATACTTCTAGCGGATGAGATAGTTAAAATTTAAGTGTATTTTATCTTTGTGTTTTATAGGTGATTAACAAAAACACGTACATTCAGTCTTAAAATCTATATTTTACTTGATACAAAAAAATATATATGAGAATATCGTAAAATGACTACCTAGGTGCATCATATTCTCTAATAAATAGGTTATATCCTTCTCCATTTTGTATTTGAAAGGTTCCTTGGGCACATTGCGTTCCTGGTATTAAATGTTTAATTTTTACCGCCAATATTCGAAAGTTAATTTCGTTCGTATTAAGCGTTTCTGTAAAAACTTTTTGAAATCGAGAGGTTAGGATCCATAATTCGTCATCACCACGTTTATTTCTCACAACCTAAAAGAAAAGGAGAAAGGATAATCATGTAATATAACAAATGAATAAAATTAGCACATTGCGTGCCGTTTTGCGTGCGCTTACAAGCATGGCTCTACGCATGCCGCAACGTACACCTTGTCACCGAAGCGTATGCGCTAAGGCATGCCTGTTTACAATATAGGACCCCGTTTTTCATAGCGCACAGCCAAACGCACGTAGTTTCACCGCAGTTGGATTTCATTGCGCTTCAACGTGCCTTTCGTGGTGTGATCACGTGTGATCGATTGATTATATTTTTATGATATACTATAGTCATAATTATTGTGATTGTGTGACAAAACGATAGAGATTTTTAATTTGAAACCCCATTGTTATAGTCCACTCTTTTACTACCAACAATAAGGCCGTTGGTTGGTAGCACTGATGCTAGATCAGGCTATCGGCTTTGTTGTCAGCTGTGTTGTTTTGAGGTTCTGAAAGATTTTCAACAACAACTGAGTGGTGGTGTTGATATTTGTTTACTTAATTGTTTATATGATTTTCTGTGTAATTTATGTATTAACATTTCACTCTTGAGTGTATTACCTTAGTAAGTACCAATAAATTATTGTAATATCTTGCATACGCTTAAATTTTGTATTACTACCAAAGCCACAACATTGTGAACTAAACCTTGGAATATATCCCTAATAACGGTTTTTTGAACTCTTTGTTTACCAATAGTATCTCGGCTGTTAGTATTGTACTGTGGTACCTTGGTATGTTTATGGGAATAGCAAATAATGCCAAATAACTTTTAATTTCACACTATGGGCTGTGTATTTTTAACTAGGCCTAAACTCTTTACGTTATATAACTAACAATAGAAGTAACCTTCCATATAGGAAGAGTCTTTAAATCTAGTTTATTTAATGTAGATACATTAAATGCTATCGAAACCACACATTTACGTTTTTGTTTTATTTCAGGGGAAAATGTTTCAATCACATACTCAAAAAATCATTACTCTTGCCCAGCAAAATATAGAGGTTCAAAACAGTGAGTTTGACCTTGGTAATGACACAAACATGCAAGTAAGTGCCAAAATACCAGAATAAGGGCGAGGTATCCTTGATATTTTACAAACGAAAACTTGCTGTATTTGACCTTACCATATTCGATATGGTGACTAAAGAAGGAACTTGCAACCTATGGGACGAGACCGAAGGAAATAGAGGTAGTATCCTATAGCACCTGTAGGATGCTATAGAATAGCACCTGTGGTGCTATAGGGATATAGCACCACAGGTGCTATTCTAGAACCTTTATATTTAATAGGAACTTTTGTATTTAATTACATAGCAAACCATCCACAAACTGAAGAATTTTTCCTAATGAGCGATAGTTATGGTGGGCAGAATTTAAATCAATATTTTGGAATAGCATTGTTACATGCTGTCAGATGTACGAATTGCAAAGTAATCAGTCAGGTATTTTATAAATCAGAGCACTCTCAACAAGAAGGTGATTCAATGCATTCAACAATTGAAAGGGCAGTAAAGAATGTACAAATTAATGTATCTTTAGAATGACATGTTGTTTGTCAGACTGCGAGAAAAACACCAAAGCCTTACAACATTATTGATTTGGATCACACATATTTCATAGATTGGAAGGAATTGGCTCAAACCAACAAGAAAAAATAAGATATGAAACTGCAACTGGGAACTTAGTCAGCTGAAAAAAAATCAAATGGTTCAGGTTCTTGAAAGATAAACCAGATTCTATTTTTTTTTTCAAGTACGAATACAATGACAAAACTTTTCGAGAAATAAAAATCTTGAAAAATGTGGGAAGGCCCTCTACAATTGACTTACTCCATAAGGCGTATTCCACACCCCTACTCAAAAAATAAAACTAAAAAGGGGAGTTAGACAAGGAGACAACATGTCACCAAAACTATCCAATGCCGTAATTCAGCATGCATTCCAGATGTTAGAATGGGAAAACAGAGGTTTGAGTGTCGATGGCGAAAGGCTGAACCACCTACGATTTGCAGATGACATAGTTCTAATAACCGACGACTTAAAGGAGGCCAACGAAATGCTACAAGATTTATAACGAGTCTCCCAAAAAGTAGGGCTGGAAATAAACTTTGCGAAAACTAAAATGATGACCAACTTAGTACCTAGGGGACCATTGAAACTAGAAAACTGGCATATTGAAACGGTTGACAAATACATATATCTGGGCCACGAAATACAAATAAGTAGAGACAACCAAACATGCGAATTATCTAGAAGAATAGCTTTAGGATGGGCAGCCTATGGCAAGCTAAAAGACGTGTTTAAGGAAAACATCCCAATAAAGCTAAAGAGAAAAGCATTTAACCAGTGCGTACTTCCGGTGCTCACTTATAGAGCTGAAACACTGACATTGACTAAAGCATCGATAAAAAAGTTACAAGTAGCACAACGAAAAATGGAAAGATCTATGCTTGGCGTAACTTTGAGAGACCGAATACGAAATGATGAGATACGGCGAAGAACTGGAGTGGAAGACGTCATAAAACGGATTACGAAGTTGAAGTGGAAATGGTCAGGACACGTCGCAAGACAGAGAAACAACAGATGGACAAAGAAAATTTTAGAATGGCGGCCAAGGGCAGACAAGCGAAATCGTGGAAGACCACCTACCAGATGGACGGACGACATTAAAAGAATAGTGACAAACTGGATTGCAGCTGCACAGGACAGAGAAGAGTGGAGACATCTTGAGGAGGCCTATGTTCGACAGTAGACACATTTGGCTGTGTCATGATGATGTGATGATGGTAAGGCGTATAGTACTCGGTTGCCCATAACAGTCACTAAACACAAAGATCTCATGGACCCGTATTGTAAGGCCAGAGTCATTCAAAGTGTACCATCACAAATACTTTGAGGATATACCAAAAGGTGACACTCGATTTGGTAAAAGAAGGAATGTAAACACAACAAGCTAATCTTCAGCTGATCTGAAAGAAGAATCATCGTCTCAGAAGAAAATATAATTATCGTATCAGAAGAAAAACAAAGTATCATCATGTCAAAAGAAAAAGTGAAAAATAAACAATCTGTACATGATTTTTTTTATATTTCTATTTTTTATTTTCTCATCAATGTTTTTGCTTATTCAATTTATGTGTAAAGAACTACAAATTGTAACAAAAATTAGTATTAAGCTAGTTTTCTTTGATTCCTTGAAACATAAAGAATATTCAATAACTCTCCTGAGGGAAGTACCTTCGAAGTGCTTTCCTGAAAAATTGAGATTTGGTACATTCGTCCTTTTTTCCATAACTCCGACGAAATAACCAATTTATTTGTTTCAATTTTATATTGAACTGAGTTTTTTTGGCGTTAATGTGTGATCAGGTGTGTGTAATGTGTTTGGCCAGGTGAGCTTTCGGTCCAAATGAAACCCAAGTTATGTCACAACGTCTGGAATGGGGACATTGTTTAGATTAACTTGTGGACAAGTACGCCTTCTTATTTAAAATATGATTTGGACTGATTTGTGTTTATTGACTTTAACTTTCCATTTTATCCGTTGGTAAATATAGAAAGCCTTGTTTTAATGCAGTCTGTTCTAATGTAATGGTCTGTGAGGATAATATAGTTTATCGTCTAGAGTATGCCTATGTGTTAAACAAAACACGTTTTTGTTCCGTCTCGAATAGTATAAAAGTCAAAACTGAAAGACAGCTAACCATTCTCGACGCGTTGAGTTGACAATATCCGACCTTGGGGACAGGTGAGTTGAACGTGTCCCAAATCCTTTCCGAACTCAGTCGATCTGGCGCGCTGAGCGAGATTGACAATCCTTCCTCTGACCGCGTCAATCTGGTGCGTTGAACGATATTGATGTATTCTTTCCATCTACTGTGTTGAACTATATAGACATCAAGACCTCAATTCCTCGATCGCTATATCTTAGTTTATCATATCGAATATCGTCACACCCATCTACCGAAATAAATAAAGAGTACGTTCTTGTATTTAAGCATTATATTCAGTAAACACTTAACGTTAATTACCTTTTTTTGTATGTTAGTTCGAAATCAATGTCTATACGAACGAATCCTGTTTCTCTGGCTGAAATACACTACCCGACATCACAGGTCTTCTTCATAGTGTGTAAACTTTTGTTAGTGATGTTAGTTTTCTTGGCACATGATTTCTAGTATGCTGTACAAATTTATAATTCATATACAAAATGTAAAACTTAATTAAAAATATATTAAAATATTTTAACAAATAAAAAATGTGTTTTACCTTTACGCCAGTAGGAAATTGCAGAGTTACAGGATTATCTGCTACTATACCAGAACCCTGTCCGCCATAGTCTCCTATTCTGGTATTAAAACAAGCTACTTTAACTTCACCCACTAATCCAAAGTACATTATACCGTTGGAATCAATCGCCTCAGCAACAGCTTGGGTTCTTCGTTTTCCACTAAAGGTCTAAAATACAGAAATGTAACTTAATACTAAACTATTTAGATATATGAATTAGATTTATATAAGAACAGTCTTGCTCACTCGATATATGAAACAGAAGTGAAAATATCTCGCTGTTCTTCTTAGATACTTAAATCTTTGTCCTTGGGTAGGAATTTCAAAACTCCAGATTCACCACCCTAGTAAGGGTTATACACAAAAATAACCTTTTCGAATTAACAAAAGGGGATGCAATTTGGGTGGTTCAAGCTCCACCTGTCTTGCTAAAAGAACAATAGCGGCGCCAGGCATCCGACAACTGAACCCTCAGCAAAGTGAAGATGTGGATGGGAAGCAAGGACCTTTTACTGGCGGCCAAGAAGACCGAAACTATAATTCTTAACGGTCCAAGGGCCAGAGACCTTACATGCCAAAAGTTTGAAGTACTTGGGGGATAGTTCTAGATATGAGGCGAAGCTTTAGTGAGCGAGTGAAGTACATCGTTTTCAAAGCAGAAAAGAGAACTTCGGCGCTGTCTAGGATGACGCCCAATGTAGGAGGACCAGGTGCTGTTTAAAGGAGAATTTTATTGGACGTGTCCACCCTCTCTGCGGCACTGGTATACCAACAAGTGCTTGACATAAAAACTATAGGAGAATGTTAGAAGAAGCTTAAAGAAAAGCACTGCTAAGGGTAGCATTTTCCTACAGAAGAACATTGACAGTGGCCATGTAAGTGATCGCAGGAGTGTTACTCATCCACCTGATAGTAAAGGAAAGCAGGAATAGGCATAGAAAATAGCAGCATAACGGAGTGGCAGGAAGAATGAACAAACGAGCGTAGGGCGGCCTGGACGATAATATTAATTCCAAATAGATGACTATAGACTAGATGAAGAAATGTTTCCATAAAAACACTAACTACTTTTTCAACCAGTTCGTAACAAGTGGCCGCTGTTTCAGGGCCTCCCTAAAAGTAAATAGGGAAGGTAGCGGATTAAAACTGCGCAGAATGTGGAGTGTCTGATATAGCCTAGCGCGAGTATATTCGAGTGCAAAATTTTCAATGACCAGAAATGCAGGTAGCAATGAGGGAAAAGACCGAATACAAGGATAATACTGGAGGCAGTAATTAAAATCTTCAGAAAGAAGGAAATACTAGATAGGAGTCTGCAGCAAAAATAAGAGAGAGAGAGAGAGAGAGAGAGAGAGAGAGAGAGAGGGAGAGAGAGAGAGTCTTTTCAGTGATGCACCTGTTTGGAGAGGACCTACCGCATAATTACTCTGGTTGAGGGGGTGGACTTTGAGACTCTGAGTTGGTAGGCATGGAACTATGGTTGCATCTGTGAGAATGACTCCTTTGGGAGGATTATATACGAATGGATGTTTCCACCCTGAATCCAACCACATGCCAGAGCATCCTTAACGGAATAAAGCCTTTAGAAGGTAAAAAAAGGCATCCAACAATTAAGAGACGATGATACAACTTCACGTCGTTTTAGTAGCGATAGAAGTAGCAAAAAAAGTTTTAAATTAAATAATTGTAAGTCACGTTGAACAGGGTTCACTGTCTAAGATATCTAAGCTACATTTTACTGTAGTATTGTATTATTTTGAACTCGGCGATACCCAATTTAGCTAAAATCTTTTGTCTTGTCTTTGGTTCGTGTTTGGCTGTTATCTCCTGTATTTATTCTGTTTTAACTTTTAATGACATTTTCGTCGCATTACATTTTATACGACGAGAATAAGGTATTTTAGTTATTTTTACATATTTTTCCCTACAAGGAAAACAACATAAATAATAAAAGTAAATTTCTAAATATATTAATGATTATCAATAATTAACAATACTCACATGAAATAGTTGAGGTTGTGGGATACGGGATAAGGTTTCATTTCTAAGGTGAGCTGTATATATCCAGTTTTCAGTAGGACTGGACATTGCATGATAAAATAGTTTTCTTTGTCCTCCATCCGAGCTTGGTGATAGACTCATTCCCAAGATACCATCCATAAGATCAAAAGAATCTCCTAAAATTATTTAATTTCAATTATATTTTTATGTTTAAATTATAAGAGTATTTTTTTATTTAAATAAAATATGGAAATATATTATGTGCGCTGTTGTATTTATAATACTAAATTAATCTAAATATAGACCTCATTATATAAGTTTTTAAATCTTTATAGGATTTTTTATCTCTATAAGAACAACAAGCTTGAAAAACTCTAACTAACTTACAGTTAATAGATCTGAAACAGTGGAAACAGCATTATGAAGTCTTACTAACAGAAGATAGATGTAAATTCCAAGAGATCAAAATGGAAGAAATATCCGAACACACACAAATAATTGAGATAACAACCGGAGAGTTAAACGATGCCCTCAAAAGATTTAAAAACAGCAGCAGGACCTGGAGACATCCTAATTGAGTTGGTAAAGTATGGACCAAAAATATTACATGAGATGTTGGTTTTACTATTTATCAAATGCTTAAAAGGACAAAATATCCCTGATGATGGAAATATTGGATACATCAGCTTAATATTCAAGAAAGGAGATAAACGCAAATGCTCTAATTATAGAGGAATAACTGTTATCAGCTCAGTGGGGAGGTTATACGGTTAAATAATAAAAGAAAAAATAGAAACAGAATACGAAGACATAGAAGAACAAAATGGATTTCGTGCAGGAAGATCGTGCACTGATGGTATATTCGTTCTGCAGCAGGTAATCCAAAAACGGAAGGCAAGGAATCTATCTACCCTACTATTGTTTGTAGATTTAGAGAAGGCATACTATAAAGTACCTTTGAAAAAACTGTTTCTAACATTGACGACAGTAGATCTCAGTAGAGAGTATGTGAATGCTATCGCAAATATATACAAACATGTAAGAACTACCGTTAAAGAAGGAAACTTTATATCTGAACCATTTCCAATAACAAAGGGGCTTAAACAAGGATGTATCTCCGACCTGATTTAAAATAATAAATGTCTAACAACTTTATTTTTTGCAGATGATCAGGTAGTCGTAGCGAATGATGGGAAAACATGGACTACATGTTTAGAAAACTTAAGAAAAAATATGAAAAATGGGGCCTCAATATGAATATGTCAAAGACAAAGTATCTTAAAATAGGAGATGATGAGGAAGATCCAGTGTTAGAAATTAGAAACACAAAAACATGCAATAAATATAAATATAAATATCTCGGATTTATAATATCTAAAGAAGGCACTACCAAAAGAGACATCGAAAACAGAACGCAGCAGAGAAAAAAAGCGGTTAACATTCTAAACTCTCTACTATGGTCTAAAGATATTAGACAAGAAACTAAATTGACAATCAATCGAACCTTGGTAAAGCCTATTATGTTTGCCTAGTTTAGCAGATCACGAAAAAATATAGAAAAAGAATAGAAGTAGTAGAAATGGATTTTCTAAGGAGATTGTGTAATTTATCCAAAAGAGATCATATCAGGAATGAAGATATTAGAAGATGGACAAATACTGTATATTCTAGTGTAGATAGAATTGAAACGAGACAACTAGTGTGGTATGATCACGTGAAGCGAATGAATGAAGATAAATTACCAAAGAAAACTTTAAATTACATAGCACAACAAAGAAGAAGAAGGGGAAGGCTTTCAGTTGCCTGGGAAGAAAATGTACGACACATAACGAGAGATAGATTCGCCATCAAAGAAGACGAATGAATGGACAGAAAACGATGGAGGTCGAAATGCGAGAGGGGGCAGAGTCTTATATTAGTGCCACAACTTAGCAATGAGCTAAGTAACATATTATCCATCTGTCCTTGTCACAATCAATGACAAGATTAAAAATCTAAGATTCTAATAACTCTAACAACAACTAAGACTCTAACAACTAGCTCTCTGTGTACTAGCACTCCCATCAACAATTGAATATTACTATAGATGCGCACTGGAAATGGCGCACCGGCAGAGATTATAAAAAGACATGCAGAGCGATGAGAAGTAGGGAGAGATTGGTTTTCTGTGGTTTCCCAATCTCATTGCACAATGATACCTGATCCTAGGTGAGGATATAGCCACAGCTATCCTCCACGCGTTTTCCAACAAACAAAAATGGCCAACAATCTGAAAGGAATCGTTTTTTTTTCCACGGAACTGGTACCTCGTGAGAGGCTTGGTTCACTAGACTAACTCTTCCGAAAGATCTGTTTTCTACCTCTTTTCTTCTTCTTGTTCTCGGTATCCTTCCCTATCCCTCTTCCGAAACACTTCTTTAGCGGCGGCGCTCCTAGTCTTGGGAAACCGAGGTCGTACGAGCGAAAACCAGAATTCAAACCAAACAAGCATAAGCACCCAAATAAACAAACCCATCCTTGAAGAAGCATAGAGCTTAAAACAAGGTAAAAACGCCATTGATTGATGAGAAGTAGTTCGATCTGGAGTATTGATCCGTCCTTTGTGTTTTTGCGGTTAATTTTTAATCAATCACTTTTGTCATTCGCTCACTGATCTTTGGGTATTGACTAAAGACCTTCTCTTATCCTACCTAACTGAACACAGCCAACATTTTTTTCTGTTTACAGGCAACAGCATCAGGAATCAAAATCCGTTCGGTATATTTAAGAGGGTTCTTGGATATGAGAAAGGAAAATATTGCGAATTTTTGCAGGTATTATACAGAGGGGGAAGTATATAGAATAAGAACCGATGCCGAGATCATCAGTATTTTTAAACAGTCTACGATGTCAGAAACTGTAAAAGCGTGAAGATTAAGCTGGTTGGGACATCTAAAAGCCACAAGTTATGGGCATAAAAGATCTGCGCTTGCACTAAGTCGGGAATCTAAAATGTACTCTATAAATTACGTTTTAGATTAAATAGTGATATTATAAATAAACTAAAATAAATGTAAATAAAGAATAAATGAACTTAAAAAGTTAAACAATATTTTAATATTAAATTAAGAGAATATTTTTAAAAAATAAAAAAATATTATTAATATATATGATTCTTTTTTTAAATTAAAATGTAAATATGCTATGTTCATCTATTGATACCGGCTCTCTATTAATGTTTACCAAACCAAATACCTGTGATGTTTACCTTGTACATTATAAGTTCCGTAATCAGGATAAGGATACATAGTCTTATCGGTTACTTTCCAAGACCTGTCATTCTTCAAATCATAAACAACAATTGAATATGCCTGGCAATCTGCAAAATAAGCAAATGTGTTTTGACAGTAATTGTGTGAATTAAGAATCTCAATAACTGGTGTAACGAAGATAGAGCGAGATTCATATTGATCACTTGGTATTTCGTACCTATGAAGCAGTGTATCCTAAAACAAGTTATAAAATTTAATATTGTATGCAGCAAAGTAATGATACATTTTTATGATATGTTTTTAATTGCATTCCTAGAGGTGTATTTTCAAGATCTCGTGCTACAGAAACAGTTCTTCCTAACTCCAAGTACTTCACCACCATATGCCATTTGCTAATATTTAAATGAGGATTCTATCCATGGTATTTTTTTTACATGTTTAAAGATAAGAAGGAAAATCTGCATACAGACATATGTGACTTATCCAGGTAGTATAGGGTTTCTAATACCATAGCAAAGTTGTGCCAGCACAAAATTCCCAAGGGGGTTAGACCTTTGACACTTTCTCCCGTCACCACTCCGAGATAGTTGGCGTCCAAATAATAAAACCTCTCTTCTGTCACTCTAGAAATCAGGATGAAAGGACTGGTTAAAGCAAAACATCTCTCCTAACGCCTTGCTATCACCCGATTCTTATCCTTTCTCCCACACATTTATCGGGAAAACCGCATCCATCCATACGAACAACCAAAGACTTTCATCCCCTGCCTGCCATCTCTCTCGCGTGTCTCTTACTCTTATGCTCTTATATTTAGACCTGCGACAGTCCGAACTTCACCGAGGTGCTACTCGCTTGTCTTAAAATTGTGTTTGAGTTCCCTCTCCTCGCGTTCTTTTGAAGAAAGCTGCTCTCTAATAAATTTGTGGATCTTTGTCCACCACCATTCATCCCTCATAATTTTTTCTACCATTTCTCTCACTAATTACTATTTAACTTTGAATAAGCCACAATTAAAGATAAAAATACGTTTATTGACGTTTCAACTTCCACCTCGGAAATCGTTCTCAAAGAATGATTTCCGAGGTGGAAGTTGAAACGTCAATAAACGTATTTTTATCTTTAATTGTGGCTTATTCCCAGTTAAATAGTAATTAATTTACAATGCCACAAGAAAATAGCTTCAGAACAATATTTCTCTCACTGAATAAAACATCACTCTTCAAGCTTCTGACACTCTGCCAACACATGTAAAGTAACAGAGCCGGTGATCATTCACAGAGCGGCAACTGACACAGTCCTGTAGACACGTGCTACCCGCAGCTGCTCTGTTTAATTTTTGTCCAGGCTATATAGACTGACAGGAGAAATTTTGTATTTTTTTGAAAACTAAATCCGGCTTTTATTGTTTTCTGATTTATTTTTGTGGTAAAAGTCGTCTTAGATTTGGACCTAAGTCTGTATTGGAGGAAACATTAGTCCAAGGTGGGAATAAGATTAACGGAATTAGCATAAACAATACAAGGTACGCTGATAATACCGTCTTAATACTAAGCAATGCACAAAAACTGCAAACTATGATGAATTGTTGAATAAAAAGTTAGACAATGGACTATAAAACATAAGAAATAGATGTCTTTGAGATGGATACAAAAAGTTACCAACGATAAGTCACTTCAAATCACGATCAAAGAAAGAAGAATACAATACCTGGGTCATGTGCTGAGAGGTGAGATTAGTCTAAATAATATTAGAATGTAAAGGACAAAAAATTTCTAGGAAGACACTAGAATCCATGGCTAAAACCAGATCCGCAAATATCTTTTGTTCAGTCGTTTTCAAAGCTACAATTTGTCATTTCGACAGAATTCACCATGGCGTATTACTTTTTAAATTGTGTCTCTTTGGTCTTTCTGAGGATGCCGTGGCTTTTATGAGGTCTTACTTATCAAATAGATAAGTAAGACCATGTTCTGCGGAGTGAACTGATTCGTGTACATGAATAGTGTAATGCAAATCATTTGAATCTTAATGCCAATAAGTGCAAAGTAGTTAGTTATTCTAGGAAACAGTCTAATATTTACTATCCTCATATAATAGATGGCAATGAACTTCAACGTTTGAATATAATTAAAGACCTTTGAGTTACATTTGATTATAAACTCACTTTTGTTAAACATGTTAATTTAAAGGTTAAAGAAGCACTTAAATCTTACGGATTCATAATTAGAAATAGTCGAAATCTCACTAATACTAAGGCAATTTAATTACTTAATTACACTTTTGTACGCTGTAAACTGGAATATGCCTCGGTCATGTGGTCACCTTTTATGATGTATATATCCAAATTATAGAGTAGGTGCAGCGTAAATTTTTAAATTTTTTGTCTTTCAAAATTAACGGCATATATCCCAAGAGGGGCATCAGCAAAAGTGAGTTGTGTAGCGGTTTGGACGTGTAGTATCATTAGAATCTAGACGAATTAATGCCTCCCTAATATTTCTGTACAAGCTACTACATAATCTCATTGACTGCCCTGATATTCTTTGACAAATAAATTTTCATGTTCCATCTTATCCAGTGAGAAATTCGATAACGTTCAGAAATATACAAGCTAGAACTAATCTTATGTTAAATTCTTCTCTATTTCTCATGTGTAACTAGTATAATTCCGTAAGTGCTTACTGCGATATATTTCACTGCAGTTTAAAGCAGCTCACTAGGATGGCTGAGATCTACCGAGGTGATTGACTCGGTTCTTTATGTTAAGGTAAAATACTGTAAAAATGTGTTATTTAGTTAGTACCTATGAATTTAGTGTTGTAGACTTTAGTATTGTATTTTGTCCTATAAATGGATTCTATTGGACAATAAACGCTATTATTATTATTTGGAACTCAATATTCGAAAGGAGATGGCATACTAAGAAAAAGAGATAACATTTCCAGTTGCATTGAAATATTGGAGCCTTAAGAACATCGACAAAAAGAGCATAGATACATTCCATATGTTCTGCAGGTCACATATGCTGAAAATTTCTTGAACAAGTCTTACTTACAATTTCTAGTGTACAAGATCCTTATCAATAAGTACTTACGGTTTGTAGATCAAAAATCAATATCTGTGGTGGACAAATTGTGGTTTCTAATATTTTTCCGGTGTCCAAAACCCAGAGTCTTCCGCATTCATCAATCTAAATAGATATAGTAGATAAATGAATAATACATATATAGTAGAACTGGTATATAACCTAATTGGCTTAATATGCCACAGATGTAATGACTTACCTTAACTCTATACACGGAAATAATTCTCTCCCTATTACACCGTTCTGGATTTTTATGCCAATTCCAATTAGGATACGGTTTAATTACTGGATTTCCGTTAAACTTTTTTGCAGAAAGAGTACCTAGTGTCGCTGGGACTCCACGCTGTAATCTTGGAACTGTTACAAATATTTTGTTCCCTTCCCATTCTCCTAAAAAATATAATATAATATAAAATAAATGCTTTTAATTAAAATTAAATTTTTTTGGTGTCGCTTTTAGTTATTATACATACTTTATAATTTTATGGATTAAGTTAACTATGTTAACTACAATATTTTTCGATCTTTTTATAGTAAATTATTTACCGAGCATGGAACGTTGGCTATTACTCCTATTACTCACAAGATGAAGGCAAGTGTCGTCATTTATTAGAATGAGTAATAGCCATTACATGAGAGTAGAATATTATACTTTTTCTACGACCTTTCTTTTATTTTTGAAAATAAACTTAAGTTCCATTGAAAATAAACATGCCAACATCATGACGAATGTTAGAAGTGTCCGACGGGTAGACAGCAACACTGACCATTTATAGTAGTCTTCTTCTTGTGGTACCTATCCGATACGGATATTGGCTACTAGCATGGCAATTCTAACTTTATTGACTGCAGCTCGAAATAGTCTTGAAGGGGTCAAGGAAAACCATTTTCGTAAGTTCTGGAGCCAAGATACTCTTCGTCTTCCTGGTCCCCTCTTTCCTTAGACCTATCCCTGTAATATAAGTTGCAGCAGGTTATATCTATGATCGTTTCGCATTATATGTCCAAGATATTCTAGCTTGCGCTGTTTCACTGTGGATATAATTTCAGATGTTTTATCCATCCGACGTAGAAACTCAATGTTTGTTATTTGGTCCACCCAGGAGATCCTCAGTATCCATCTATAACACCACATCTCAAACGCCTCGAGTTTTCCCATGGATGCCTCGGTTAGTGTCTATCATTCAACGCCATAGAGCAGCACTGTAAACACGTAGCATCTCAATAAACGGATGTTCGTTTTGAAGGGTAGGTGGCGGCTATTAAATATCTTGCTCAGTCTGACAAACGCTGGAATAGCTTTTTCTTTGTTTTATCTCAACTGAGTGGTCTCATTGGTCGTTTATGGTGGTTCCTAAATAGTAGTAACGGGGCACTTGGAGTATTGCTGATCTACCAGTAATTGATTAGGTGGAATATGCTTTTAAAAGCTAATAAACATATGGACATATGGACACATCCAAACAACGAAGAAAATTTTAAAAATCATATCGGTAAATTCCTTCAAGAAAAATCACCAACAAATGATATTAACATCCTTTAGAAGCAATAATAGAAGCTCAAAAGGAATGCTGCCCAAAAAGCGTGAAGGAAGAAAAAATTGGTCTGGAAACAGAGAAAAAAATGGAACAAAGAAGAATACTGAGAAGCGACGAAAACTCTAGTAACGACGATATAAATAGAATGAACAAGGAAGTATCAAGAGAAATCAGAAAAGACCTAAGAAAATACAAAGATGAGAAAATCCTCAAAACCATTGAGGATAATAAGAGTATGAAAATAATGAGACGCAAACTCACAAATGGAAAAAAACAAATAGTCAAACTCAAGGATAGAAATAATTACATCAAACAGAGAACATTTGTTACAAATTGTGGAATCATTCTATGAGACATTATATAGCAACCAATCGACTCTAGATATAGTTGAATATCAACAAAGGAAGGTTCAAAATCAGGGTTCCGAAGATATCCCAGAAATCTCCTTGGACGAAATTTACAAGGCTCTAAAAAAGATGAAGAATAACAAAGCTCCGGGGGAGGACGGTGTCGTCACGGAAGCGATAAAGATAGGAGGCTCAGTACTGATAGCCAAAATTCAAAAGCGCTTTAATCTATGCATATGGAATCAAAATATCCCAACAAAGTGGAATAATTCAATAACTGTACTCTTACACAAGAAGGGAGATATAGCAGACCTGGAAAGATACAGACCAATCAGTCTCCTTAACCATCTTTATAAATTATACACCCGAATAATAACGAACAGATTAGAGACAAAGCTGGATTTTTACCAACCTCGGGAACAAGCTGGTTTTCGCCCTAATTACGGCACAAACGATCATCTGCAATGCCTAAAAACTCTGATAGAACAAACTAACGAATATATAACCGTCCCTTGGCATTGATATTTGTAGACTTGAAAAAGGCGTTTTATACAGTGGAACTACCGTCCATCTTAAGAGCACTACAAGATTGCAGGGTCAACCACAGATATTGTAATATAGTCAAAAATATATATGAAAATGCCACAACAACCATAAGTCTACATTCTGCAACTAATAAAATAAATATAAAAAGGGGAGTCAGGCAAGGTGATACCATGTCACCAAAGCTGTTCATTACCGTTCTTGAGTATGCATTTAGAAAACTAACGTGGCAAGAGAAAGAAATATCCATCGATGGAGAAATATTAAACCATCTACATTTTGCGGACGATATCGTACTTCTGTCAGATAATCTAGGGGAGATCAAAGACATGCTCCAAGAACTGAATGACATACTACAAGAAACTGGGCTGGAGATAAATTTCGAGAAAACCAAAATGATGACCAATATGGTTTCCAGCGAAGAGATACAGATTAATAACAACAAGGTCGAATTAATCGATAAATACACATACTTGGGTCATGAAATTAGAATAACCAGAGACAACCAAACCTGCGAGCTAAATAGACGAATCACGTTGGGATGGGCGGCATATGGAAGGATGAGAGACATTTTTAAAACAAATATCCCAATTCACCTGAAAATGAAGGCATTTAACCAATGCATCTTACCAATCTTGACACATGGAGCAGAAACCCTAACTTTAACGAAAGCTACTGCCGAAAAACTGGAATGGAAGGAATGAAAGACGGAAGATGGACAAAGAGATTATTGGAGTGGAGATCAAGAGCCGACAAGCGAAGTCGAGGCAGACCACCCACCCGATGGACCGACGACCTAAGGAGAATAGAAACAAACTGGATTGCAGCAGCTAAAGATAGAGAGAACTAGGGACGTTTGGAGGAGGCCTATATCCAACAATGGATGTGAAAATGGGGCTGGATAATGATGATGATGATGATTATGCTTCTTACTGATGTTCATGTACTTTGTTTTCTTATGTTAATGTTAAAATTCTACGTGACGTTGTTGCGGTACTAGTGTCTGTAAACCTTCTAAACTGTCTACAAAGAGGATGGTGTCGTCTGCATATCTGTTATTCAGACGCTCACCATTTATGAGATTACCCTCTTCGAAATGCTCCAAGGCCTGGCTCATGACGTGTTCCGAATAGACTTTAAATAATAGGGGAGATAGTATGCAGCCCTGTCATACTCCTCTCTTTATTGCAACTTCCTCTGTTACATGGTATTTCACCCGAATGGTTGCTGATTGGTTGTAGTATTTGTTCTTGATTACTCGAAGGTCTTTGTTATTCAGATCAGTTACCTTTAGTATATCCATGAGCTTATAGTGTTTGATTTTGTCGAAAGCTTTCTGGTAGTCGATAAAGCATACATTAATTTCGCAGTTGACGTCTCTGCACATTTGAAATAATACCTGAACCGCGAACAAGGCTTGTCTTGTACCTAACGCATCCCTGAATCCAAACTGCGTTCGTGAAATCTGTAAGTCGCATTTCTGATAAATTCTTCTGAAGGTATATTATCTTTAAGAAAGTTTTAGGAATGTGGCTCATTAGACTGATAATACGATGGTCTTCGCATTAGGTTTTTAGGTGTAACAATAAATGTAGATTTTAATTAGCTCTTTGGGATTTTTCCCAAGTCATAGATTGTATTGAACATTGTCGTAAGTCATTTTACTCATTCGTCTCCCATGATTTTTAGAAATTCTCAATGAAAGTTGTCGGGCCCTGGTGCTTTAATTGCGGCTTTGACTTCGTCTTGAGTGATTGGTGGTCCTTATCCATAATTATCTGGTTGTTATCTCTGTCGTCATCGAATGTCTTCTCAACGTATCTCTTCCATATATTATTTGTTTGTTCAATGTCTATTACCGGATAGCTATGATCATCAGTCATATGTCCTGATGTCTTCGGTTTGTACATTCCTGCTGCCTCTTTTACCTTCTTGTGAAGATTAAACGAGTCGTGTCTACTTTCCAATGATTCGGTTTCTCTGCATTGATCTTCTAACCATTTGTTTTTGGTTTCTTTAATAGTTTTTCTTATTTCTTTGTCAATTCTTTTATACTCCCACATGTCTCTGTTTTTAGCTCTTCTTCTATTGTCCATCATATTTAAGATTTTATCAGTAATCCACTATTTCTTTTTAACCGTTATTGGGCAAAGATATTTATCTAGGATTGTCTAGTTAATTTGTTGTAGTTTTGCCATTTCGTTATCTGGTTCATTAGCTTTGTCTGTATTTATATTTAACAAGCGTTATAATATAAAAACGCTAAACGAAGAAAAGGTCAGAAATAAGTTAAATCGAGAAATAACAAAAATATTAAAAAGACAACTTTAAATGAAGATACTGACCAAGAATGGTTACAAATAGAGAAGATAATAACGGAATTGACAGCAAAGACAGTAGGAAAAAATAAATAAAGAAAACAGTAAAGATTGGTTTGATACAGAAAATAAAAGGCAATTAAAAGCTAGAAGAAAAATTTAAATGCAAATGAATATAATGAATACAACAAAAACAGGGAAGAGTTATGAAGCAGCAAAGAGAAAAGGAAAATCATATGATAAACAAAGAGATTAAACATTTCATGCTTATTTCATATCGCGCTTCTACGGAAGTAAAGAAAACACGCTAATAGGCGACTTACCAAGAAAACTAGAGTGGTGGGCAGAATACTTTGAAGAACTGCTAAACCTAAAGGAAAATTCCAATGAAATACAATAAAAAACCGGACCGGAACAAAACAACAATGAGACCGAAATAAAGAAAGCATCAGATCATAAGATAGAGTAAATAATAAAGCAGCTGAAAAATAACAAGAATCCATGAGAAAATGGTATCACAGAAAAAATTGGAAATTGAAATTAGGAAAAAAAATAAATTGCAATAAAGCTGTACTATAAGCAAATAAACGTAGAATGACTTAAGTTTGTACTCACTTGCATAATAAACGTCAACATCGATGGGAGCTGGTTTTCCAGGCAAAAAATTTCCCGTTAGAATATCTTTGTCTCTCTCATATGATGATGAATAATCAAATTCTAGTTGGCTCCATTCAAAAATAGTGGAAAAATCACGTTTTTGTGTAGAACAAACTACCTTACATAAGAAGCTAATTATAACTATCCCTAAAAAATAAAATTAATACACAATTTCTCTACTAAAGTTCATTAATTTTAGAAAAAATATCGTGTTTCTAAATTTTGATGTAACCTGGTATAAATTCGTAAGGCGAGACTGCTGACCTTTGTAGTTCAGAATTATGTTTTCTGAAGGTTAGCAATTTTACCTGCACAGTTGGTATATAAGTATATCCGGTGTTTTGTTATAAATGGTGTAAAAGTTATTGTATTTCTTATGACTAAGTTAATAACAATATCAAGTATTGTTAAACTAAATACTGATCATTCATTCTAAAAATTTTAACTAGGGATCAGCTTAGTATAATTTAGTTCTTTGCTTTGTTTTCGCTAGCGTAAAAAAATAGATTTTGTTTTGATGCTATAAACTTTTGGTTTGTAATTTTTATTAGTTTGTAGGTATTTTCTTTTAGCTTTATGGTTCTCCTTTCTCGTCCTTTTTATTAGCAATTCTCATTGTTTATTGGCGGATTAACCCAGATATTACTGAAACTTTTATTGTTAACATTTTGAATTAATTTCGAATTTTCATGGAAATTATAGCATATGGAACCAAAAAACACAATCGTATATTCTTTTATGACGATACCTGTCAAGTTTTGACATGTTCTTTTAAAAGGACGGTAGTAATATACGGTACCAGATATCATATATATTTTATTAGTATCAATTTACAAAGAATGAAAGGATTTAAAACAAAATTTTGGATGTAAAGGTATTTTGCACTTTTCACACAAAAACTGTACTTTTTTGTGACAATATCCACATCGCGATTGCTTTTCTTGATAAAGAACCAAGTGCAAAAAGGGGAAAATACCATTTCTTTCCTCTTATGGACACTCGATATAAACTGATGTTCTGGTCACTGCGATCAACGCCACCCATGAAGTTATTGTATATTCTAACAATATTTGGTTGAGGAACTTGAATATGTTTTTTCTCTGCTTGTGAAAATCTCTTTACAGAGAAGTAAGGCATTACTGGTACAAAATTGGAAGCAATAGAAACGATATTATTATCATGCCAGCGGCAAACCACTATTCCTGTATTTTTATCAAGACGATACTCGTATTTACCACGTTCAGTTTTTTTCATAATAGATGAACAGGGTAAAGGGCATTTCATGGTGCGATTTTCCCTTACAGTGTCTGTACCAAATATGCCTCTTTGTTTTAGCTCATGCAGTAAACGAATAGAAGTAAAATAATTATCAAAAATAAGATGGAATCGCCTTTGAGACCATACTTCATTAAATCTTGTCTGCATAGGATAGAACTACTGATGCACCCAATCCAAGGACTTTATATTGTTCAGGTATTGTAGTGGAATTACCTTGGTAAGGAGAAAACCAAACTATGTATCCCAGACGAAGGGCTCCTACCCACATTTTGTACCCCAACGGATTGGTTTTCCCCTGATGAATTGTTTTGTGGGATGGCGACCAAAATACGGAACCATTGCCTCATCTATGCTGTGATGTTGTTCTAAAGGGGAAAATTGTATAAATTTTTTGTTTATTACGTCGAACAGGGGTCGCATCTTGGCGAATCTATCAAATTTATCTAATAAGTTACTGCATACATGCAAAACTTTCATTATATGGGAAAATCTATCCCTAGATATAGCAGCTACCACCATTGCGTTGAGCGAATCGTCACGATTTGCCCAGTACATATACATTTTCGGCACAACCACATAAAAACTCAATACAAGAACACCTATAAAACATCGAATCTCATTTTGAAAAGATGTCGTTCAAAAGATTTCTTTGTCCTGCGTAGATGTTAGTGTATTCGGTAACTAAATTGATGACTTCATCATCAAAAAACAAATTGAAAATTTCCATCGGCGACTGAGTCATTTTCGGTCCAAATTGAGTTTTCCAGTAAGTACAATCAGGGTGTTGATACAAGTCTCCTTGAATCCAGTGTGCAGATATTCTCTTCTCTAATTGATGGGGCAGCTTTTCCTTGGAAAGAAACGAAGCCAATGGTATATTGTCATCATCCGAATCTTCTTCTGGTAGGCTGGAATTCACAGAATCTTGTGGTAATTCAGTCGCGTTGTCAAAAACAAGTTCTACATCGTTTCTCATCTGACTACCCGGTAAATTATTTATTGTAGTTAGTTCTTCATCGCCGGAGTCGCAATCGGTGACATCATCATTGGCATTTTCTGGGGCAAATATGATCAAACCATCTGGAGGGACTGGGATTTCATCAGAATCAAGCTCTTCTAATAGCTCATGCAATTTGAGAGGCCTCCTGAAACAATACGCACTTTGGTAGTACTAATTACTACCGTCCTTTTAAAAGAACAAAATGAAATCCCAAGCGGCGAGCCTTTGAAACAACGTGACAACTATTCGAGCCAAGAATATACGTACATAAGTCCCTATTATACAATAATCCACATGCCAATGCCATGAAATAACAGTTTTTTAATTCTAGACTTACCTCCAATTATAACCATCCATTTTGTAGTCCAAAACCTGGCAATTTACACAGATAACCTCACAATTAAAGCATATGCGCGCACTAAAATCGTTAAAACTTGTCGAATGCTGGCTCTTGAAAACACTCCACCTAGAGCCATCTATCAGTTGGTAGCTGTACTAACCTAAATTACGCATAATTTACACTGCCTTTTAAAAGGACGGTAGTAATATCTGGGTTAATATCTCTCTTAAAGACGTAGCATCGCAGCATTCCTACTTTTGTATCAAGAGAGAGGTTGTGACTCTCTCTGAAGTTGGATCTAGCTTTTCCGATGCGTGCTCTAATCTCCTGGTTGTTCACTCACTCTTTCTACGGGGGATTGGTTGATGTAGAGTTGACCTTCTGTTATCCTTTTCTTGTTAATTATCATAAGCATGACCATCATACTGAAAAGATTTACAAACAAGGTTGAGTTTCGAGCTAATCAAGCAGGCTTTAGACCAGAATCCTTCTGCATAGACCACACTAATACTGTGAGGGTAATAATGGAACAATCGGTTGAATGGAACACACCCCTATTTATGGTTTTTGTTGATTTTGAACGTGCCTTTGATAGCTTGTCTCACGCTGCTGTATGGAAAATTTTAGAGCTAGGAAACATCCCGCAAAAAAATAATTTCTATTATAAAGTCACTATATACTGATGCGAAATGCAGCGTGACACACAATGGGATCAACAGTGACGAATTCGACGTACTTACTGGAGTTAGACAGGGATGCGTGCTTTCTCCGTTTCTTTTTAACATAGCTATCGACTATGTTCTCTCCAAACTAGACTCCGACACAGGAGGGATACAATGGACGTTAACCACACGCCTAAGCGATCTAGAATACGCGGACGATATCTGCCTATTAGATCAAAGGTTCCAAGATCTGGCTTACCAATTGGAAACACTTTCCACTGAAGCCAATAATTTAGGTTTGAAAAAATCAAGTCCATGAGAATAAATGCAAGGAATAACACGCTATTTACTATCGACAATATGCAGATTGAAAATGTGGAAAACTTTGCGTATCTTGGAAGTGTCATAACAGAAAACGCAGGTACAGAAGACGATATTTGTATGAGGATACGAAAAGCAAAACAAGCTTTCAGCACGCTCAACCATGTTTGGAGATCTGGCAAGTATACTACAAGGACAAAGATCCGAATATTCCGATCAAATGTCATGTCTGTTCTACTCTACGGATGTGAAACCTGGAAAGTGACAAACACCCTCACAGACAAACTGCAGGTCTTTGATCAAATGTCTATGAAGAATTGTTCGTATATTCTGGCCTAACACTATCAGAAACGAAGATCTGCTACACCTGACCGAACAAAAGAGGGTACAAAATGAAATTAAGTCCAGAAAGTGGGGTTGGATCAGTCACACACTCTGAAAAAATAGTTCCAGTATCGCAAAGACTGTCACAAAAGAGGTCTCCTCTCTTGTTTCTGACTCCAATTTTATGTGCTCCAATGTGCTGTGTCTTATTTCCAGTTCCAATCTTGGCAATAAAATCGTCCATAATGATGAAAACTTCCTGTCGAGAAATTTTCTGTATGATACTGTTGATGTTCAGATAGAACTTAATTGCTTCTTTATTCTCTTTGTCTGCAGTAGGAGCATAGACTTGGATGATGTTTATATTAATAAGGTTGGCTTTTACGTGTATTAGCATTACTCTCTCTGACATTGGTGTAAAGTTAGTAACGTATTAGGCAACCTTGGGTGATACGATTATTTCGACTTCATATTTATGTGATCCCTCACTTTTTCCTGAGTAATATACCTTGTGATCTTCTATTTGTACTTCTCCAGAATCTGGCTGTCTCATTTCTGCTCTTCTCATGATTTCAATATGCATTTTCTTCATCTTCTTTATTGCATTGTGGATTTTTTCTGCTTTGTGTAAAGTTTTGACATTCCATGTGCAGATCTTAATATTCTTTCTGCACTTTAATTTAATATATTTTGGTAAACTCAAAACTGTCCTCCCGGAGACCCAATCGAAAAACTTACTCCGGAATTTATTTTAGTATTGAGCATTGCAATTATTGACTAGGACGTATCCCTCTGGATCTTTAATGGAGTGTTTACCTTACTTGTGCTTCCCCATTCTTATGCCGTTGATCAAATTTTTGGTTCATCCGCCTTCGAGGCCGGATGAACTTCAGGACAAAAGGGTACCCTACCACATATCAACCTCACCTTATTAAGCCAATAAACACTTGGGTAAAAATCCTTTAAATATTGTTAAATTGTAACATCTTGTAAGAAAATTTAATTGCAAAACTTTTTTGTCTGTACAAATCTTTCATAATTTTTTCTAAATTGTATATTTGCCGAGATATAGCAGCAAAAAAGAAAAAAAAACGAATTTTTTAAATTTTTTTCACAAACTGTTTAATAATAAAACATTTTGAAGTTTCCGTGTAAGGAAATTATCATGTCTAATAATAATACGAAAATTACGCCATGAAATTAATTTATTGTATTAATTAAT